TAAATCCAGGAAACAAAACAAAACCAAAAACCAGCCCACCACAAGCAATCCCTATGTGCTCCTTTTGAAGATCTATATAACATGTCTTGTTTCATGCCATGATAGAGGTGGTACGTTTCACACTCATTTGCTTTGGCATCCTATCTCCCCAGTTCATGTGTGCATGCACGCACAAACCCCTGGGAGCAGCCAGTTCATTTTGGCAATTCAGCAATATGTGGGTTGGTTTCTATAACCCTGAGCCTGCCAACTTGATTCCTTTGATCACAATAGGTGCATTTGCATGAATGAATTTTTGATTGTAGCAACAACTTAGGTCGGGATTCACGAAGCAGAGCAAAGTAATGGATTAGTCACCACAGCTTCAATTAATGGTTTTGGTTCCCAGTGGCAAATCGATGTCCATCAACTTTGACTTCCTTGTCAAAAGCAGGCAGGCAACAACTCCATCTATAGCACTTAATTTACAGACCTTGTAAAATCTTGGAAGCAAGAATTGACAGAAACATCTGAATTTACCTCAGGAAAACATATAAACTATACTCTACTCTTCTGCTCCATCTTGAAAACCTTTGGCTAGAGGGATAGAATAATTCAGTAGTGCTGAGTGTAGAAATAAGGTCTAGGCAGTCATTATCTTAAATCATGTTTATGAGCTCTAAAATAAATAAATCAGCTTCTTAATTGATTTGGACCAATGTCTAGCAAGCAATTTTAGCCTAGTAAAATAAGGATAAACACATCCTAAAAGAGATCAAATTTAAGAAGTTGGGGGCTGGGGCATGCCCTGCATATGCAATCTGCAGTGATTGTCAGCTGTTTTAAAGAGCTTCTCAAGTAAAAATCACCAGAGAACAAAAAACAAAGCACAAACCCACACACCACATCACCACATTTAATTTTAGCATCAAGAAGAACGAATACAACAGAGGCTGGAGCAAACTTCAGAGGAAAAAAAACATTAAGCTCTAGATATTGTGTCATATAATGCAATTTGTTCAGTGTTAGAAGTACCTGGAGTGAGTTGCTGCACCACAGCGCACAGCTAATTTGTGTATTGTAACAGAGCGGTCCATGAACCAGAAAATTATGAAGGACTCGTTTCTCTTTGGCAGTTGCTTAACTTAACTGGAAAAACATCCAAAGACCTAACATAAATTTTGTGGAAAGCAAGAGGAGCAGAGCTCAATACTACTACAGCAGTCAGGAATGCACTGAAGGGCAGGCTCAGAATTTGAGAGCTCCCCAAATGGAACAGCACAGCAAGCTGCACAGCTTCTAGTGGTGCCTGTTTCCAAACCCATTTGCAATATATTCAGCACAAACAACTTCTTACACCAATACCACATAACATCTTCTCAGCTTTCTGACATGCTCATTTGACACAAGCATCTCCTCTCTGACTGATGCAAGCAGCCCAGCAACTTCCTGCTTAAGCAAAACTAACTCAGTGTCCTGCTGAGTTTTTCCTATTAATTACAAAAGACACAGACATGAAAAGGACACAGAGTTACCCTATAGACAAGCTAAGGCATAAATAGGAACTGTGGAAACAAAGTCACCTTCTTTTTAAACCAAGAAATGTAAAACTCATTATAGGATGAAAAAAACGCAATAAATATTCTTTATCCAAACATAACTACAAATTACATTACTAAGAACTCCTGAAATAAATCTGAACCATCAGTCCCCTCTATTTCAAAGGTAAAACAACAGCAAAACTTGAAAAGGACTGCCTCAAATCCATGAACTTCAGTTTTAAGGAATTAAAATATCAATAGCATCAAGGTCTTGAAACGAGTGAATATAAACTTGGAGCAGCAATTCTGCAAGAATGAAAACTGAAATGCAATGACTGTAAAGGAGAGTTTGTTGTTTGTTTTTATTTCGTTGCTTTTTTTTAAGGTCTGATAGAAACCTTCTAGCCCTAGTCATTTAGATCCCATTTTCATAAGTGTAATGTCAGCAGAGTTGCTCTGATAGAAAATATGTCATTCTTGTCACACCATTGCTATTAGTATGAAATCCCTATTGAACTCAATATTGAACTCAGCCTAACAAAGAAATATAGGGGGAAAAAAATTAAAAAATAAAAAATAAAAAAAATCAAGCTTCTCAGAGCATCCCTGTAGTCAAAAGTGTCCTTTTCTTAGGATTATTTTTGTCTCATTCCATGCACCTCTGGTTAGCAGCAAGAATGTATCAACTTTGTTGTTCCATTTTTTTCTATTTCAACCTTAAAAAATCTCTCAGATCCTTCCCACAAACAACCTTTCTTCCTTTTCCCAGAACAACAGTGGAAAGACATGCCTTAGGCAGTTCTCACTTCCAGGTTGAAAGTTTACCAGTAGAGAAATAGAAGTGCTCAAGCTGGCAACAGTGAGTATTATCTACTATTTTATACATACACACACACATACATATGTATACATACACATACTCACAAAAATGCACTTCTGCAGCTTTTTGCATAGGAGAAAATGCATGTCTGAGATCAAAGTGAATCCTGCCTAGCTGGACCTTAGTTCAAGAGCAAGCCTTGGAGATACATGCAACCATCACAGACAGCAGACACCCATATCAGGATGCGAGTCCACCAAAATAAAGCACACAATATATATGTAGGGTGCTCTCACTCTAAAGTGATTTTTTTTCTTAAATAAATATTTCCAAAGGTTCATATATGGTAAGGTATACTGGCTGACCCAACAATGGGAATTAAATAAGATCTTTCATTGCTTTGTCCTTCCTTTAGATACATAACAGCATGGTTAAACTCCACAATACAAAAAAGACTAAACCCTGTTCTGCTTTGGGTTTTGTCTTCCTTAAACTAGGCAACACCATCTTGCTCTAGTGACCAAGGAGGCCACCTGATCACTTGCTCTATGCAGTAACAGACAGGAAGCAGCCCAGTGAATATAGCCCTGTATAATGATGTTTGCAGATCTTTTTAAAATCCATACTATATTTCTTAACTAATGGATGTCAAGCATGATGAACAGCGGCTATGCAAGTGCCTGGCTGGTGTTTTATCATGACTTTTCTTCCTGCTATTTACACCTGTTTCCTTTCTGCTGTTTTAAGCCCATTAGTGTTTATTGTGTCCACACTGTGCATTGCAAATAATCTCATTTTACCAGTTCCTCTTAGACATGCCCCGGGCTATTGTCACACTGTGCACTCACTTTTCTTCTGAGCTGTACTAATTCTCTTCTCTTGATAATACAGTGTGACCCATAATTCACTGCTTAGGCAGATTTCATTATTCTGTACCTTTTCAATCAAACTCTGCTCTTACAGAAGCTCATTTTGAGCCTCTTTAACAGCTCTCTACTCCAAACATTCCAGTGTTAACTATAAAGGCATAATACATCAGCTCTGATAAAAAACCTTACTTGTGTTAGAAAAGCTCACGCAGTACAGACAGGATTCTTGCAGCTCATGGTTGGTCTTATTTTATTTCTCTGTTATAAGCAATCACTTTCAGCTAGTGAAAACAATCAGCTTCTCAACAGTTGAGAAAGAATGCTAAGAAACTAATGCACTACAAAACAGCATTGTGAGTTTGTGCCCAAGTTCACAAACTCCACATGACTGTTACAAAGCCAGACTTAGGGCTGCAGCCTCTGCTGCAAGTACTTTGGGAGCAAACAGGAAAAAAGGGAGGAACTTCCAGGACAAACATCTTTTGTTGAATGAATATATACAACAAAAACAACACTCCAAAAAAAAAAAAAAAAACAAAACAGAAAAAAAAGGAGTCACACTGACAGATTGGAACATCTGTGTTAGATGGTATATGAAGTTGTACTACCTCTTGAATGTGACTACATCCCTACACCATAATCAGAAAGCATTTTATCACCACCACTGATGTTATTAATAAATCAAATAAAAATCAGACCAATTATCTACAGTCTTTTTATGTTAAAGAAAAATAATTTTTTCATTTAAAATAAAGTCTATTTTCCATACTGATTTGAGGCTTGATGTTTTTGTTTGTTTCCATTGTTCGTTTTTTAATTGTTCTGTTCTACAGTAGGAGGGAAGAAGCTGAAAGGGCCACAGCAATACCCCCTGCTTTGTTAGGAGAGAGATAGCTCTACTGCAGTAGCAGTACTGCACCTCAGTAGAATTTCCTGAAATATCCCTCATGCTTTTCACTGTGTGATCTTACTACAGCCTTTGGAAGAATTCAGTTGAAATACTTCAATTTTGTATCACAGTAATCAAAATTCAGTACAAATGAGGCCACAATCCACAGTAAAAACCACAGAGATGGTCTGAAGGTCTTGATAAAGCATCTGCTCCACTCCTTGTGCTACCACAAAAAGTCAAGAACATCCACAGGAACCTTTAACAGAAGTTTCCCTTATACCCTCTTATGAAAATCTCTAAGGATAGCACACGGTATTATATGTGCTGCTTATACTGCTCCACTACTTTCACAGAAGAAATTTTTTAATACCTGCATTTTATCTTCTTTCCTACAATTAAAGCTGATCATTCTTGTTCTACCCATAGAGAATAAAGGACAAAAAAAAATATAAAATTCTTTAAAGCATCTTTTACAGACTAGACAGTTGCTATTGTGGTCTCCTTTTGTCTTCTTTTTCTTTTTTCTTAGGGTAAATTAATTTTTTCAAGCTTCCCTCAAAGTTTAGATTTGCCGAACTCCTCATTTCCACTTTTTTTGCCTTTTTTTTTTTTTTTGCTTTTTAATTTCTGTCACTACTTTGTGTCTGTTTTAACAGGTGAAGCTCGAGACTGCAAGCTGATATTCTAGATGAAGGATCCAAATCCAAAGACAGAAAAATATCTTCCTTCATGTTGAATAATCTCCCAAATTAAAATTGCTTTTTTTTTTTTCTAGCAACACTGCACTGTTGGCACACATTCTGTACATTTGCTTTACAACACAATATAGCCATCAGATCTGTTTTTGCTGACCAACTATCATGCCAAAGATTATCTGACGTTTCATTCTTTGCACTTACCCACATTGGTTATATGATCCTAATTCTTCACCTTAAGATCAATTCAAATTCAGATTTTATCCTCCAAGGTGCTCGTTCATTCACAGCTTATTGGGGCTCCTTTGCATTTCTAAGTCAGTTCTCAACTCCATCAGCCAAGTCAGTGATGCAGCAACCATAACAGCAGGGCAACACTCAGAAGATCCTGGTAAGCAGAGATAAATCCTTGAGATTCTCAGCAACACAATGAGCACAATGAACACAATCAACAAAAGCAATGCTACAAAAATTTTCTATGCTTTTCAGCCCCTTAGATTTAAAAGAAAAATACCCTTAAGTTTTCCTGCAGAACAACAAAGCAGGTTTTCTAGTTTTATCAGAGAAACTCACTTCACCCAGTTGCTGTTTCTTGATTAAATAGTGGAACAGCCTCACAGCTGGCATGAGTTAGAGAAAGTCTACTTACCTGTAATGGATGCCTCCCGAAAGTCAGCACAGTTCCTGCTCACCTTAAAAGTTGTCTATTCCTCCCACCCAAAATACAAGAAGATTACATTTTATCAGAAAAGATCTCTTCATTCTATGAAACTCAGTAATCTGGTGGTGCTTTTTAAGCTAAGTTTGTAGTCACTCAGAAGAACTGCTTCAACAACAACAAAGCAACCTTCTCTTAAACATATTGATTTCAACAGGAACAACACATACAAAAGTAAAGATTGGTTTACAGCACAGATCTCTTCCAAATCATTTCATTAGTATAGTGTGAACTTCAATAAAAATCCAAATATCACAAAATTAAAAAATCATGGTCTGTTTATCACCTGATTCTGCTTTACCTCAGAATTACAGCTGGCTTCCCTGTAGTGAAGGATACCACTCTTTGAAATTCCAAAGCATCTTTAAAGCTAAAAAGTCCAGAAAGCACAGGACTGACAGCCTTGGAGGTTGGGCTCTGTTTATCAGCTGGAAGACAACACTGAAAGCAGATAGCTAATTTGTTTTCCATCAGAGTTTACTCTGGTTTCCAACTTTTCTAGCAGCTTCCTGTTCATTCTTGTGCCTTTGTGTGAAGGCAGTCCAGGAGGACAACAACACTTTCTGCTTTCAGAGAGCCCGCTAGAATGTTACCCTCACCTTGCAAAAGTTAGCAAAGACTGACTTTTACTGCTAACCAAGGGCAAACCCCTGCCGACCTGTGGGAAGAGCTGCATGCCCACTGTCCATTTCCCAGCTGTTCGCTCACTCTCACAAGATAGTTACACATTTCCTTTGCAGTAAAAAAAAACTCTCTGTAGAGTAGGGAACACTCAAAGAAAGTCACACACGTACAGATATCTTGTTAATATTAATTAGCTTCACTGTGAATGTTATAATATGCATTCACTGCTCATTGGCTAACGATGCCACAGACAGCACTTCAGAAATTGGTACATTTCTCTCCTTTCCGTAACTCACAGATGGTGTTGGAGATGACCGCTCCATCATCCCTTCTTTCTTCCTAACCAGATTAATAGACAAAACTGCTCATAGCTATCAGCGTGGAACTGCTGATTGCATTAGTTGCAGACATAATTAAGACACTGTTTATAGAAGCACTGAACTACAGGAGTAATTTTACCTGCACAAGAGCTACAAATTTGTCCATTTTAAAAGGAACATATTTCTTGTACTTCATCTGTTATTCTAATTACCAACCATATGGCTAAAGTTGGAACACAGTTAATGACAGAACTGTGAAGAGATACATTTCTTACTCTGGAATCTGGATGTATAGCTCATTCTTAAGGATAAAGCCAAGTGCTGCTTTCACATCCAGGCATAAGGTCTTTGAAATAACTCTTCAATTGTGATTGCAAGTTTTTGGTTAATATCAGGCCCTGTGAATTATACACAAATGGGATGGGATGCAATGCTTGTGGTAGTCCATGCTATCACACCTTACTCAAAATGGGATATCAAAGTAAGAGTAAACATTCATGCTGTACTCATTAAGAAGTTTCACTGTACAAGAAAAGCTGAGGTCAGTTGTTCACCTCTGCTCCTCAGATAGGAGACACATTATTAACAGTGTGAGCAAAAACACTGTCTTCAGATACTAGGAGAAAGACTGAGTGCATAGCCTGAATTTATTCTTTTATCAAAGCAGAAAGAGCTTCAGAGACTTTCTCTTATGCGCAACATGGAGAATAGCACTGGCATCAGTAATCATTAGAAGAGGAGCAAACTACATCTTAAATATTATCTATTTTTTATGTTGGTTGTATATGACGATGAATGGCATTTCACTGAATTACTTTGTTCCTTTTCTATGCCTAAATTTGGACTGTTTTAATGCACTTACATAATTCAATGTACTTTAAAAAAAACAAAAAATCTCTTAACTTACTAAATGTTTAAAGTTACAGACAAGTTAAAAAATACTAATATTAATACATATATGCCTGAAAAGGCACTTGCAGTGTTGAGTTTACCAGATTTCCATCTATCTCATTGTTCTGCTGATCTATTTCTTTCATCTCTTATTCAACAATACAACAGCCAGCTTTTCTTGTAGATAATAACGAAACATTAAAATGCTGAGATCTAATGTACATCTACTGCCAAGCACACTATATCAGGAAACAGTACCTCGTATGTGTTTGATTATCGTAGAAAGTGCACCAGTTCACTTATGAATATTTATGTACTATTGAATAGCTGGACCAGGACAGATCAAGATTTTCATTACAATTTTTCCTGCTGCTTTGATACTGCAGCAGAGGATAAGAGGGAAGAGCACTGCTCCTATCAGCTGTACAACACAAACTGGATATTGTGCAAAGCCAGAATAACAAAGGGTTTTTTTCAATAGTCTTGATACCAGCCAACACAAGAAAATCCCACATGAAGGCTGACCACCAGAAAACAAAACCTATTTGTTCAAAATTCCTGCCATAGTATAAACAGTATTACAGATGGCAGAAAACAATTTGTTACCTTCTCCAAATAAAAGCTAAGAAAGGCAGAGACAGCAGCACTTGAAAGCACTTAAGAACAAACAGATGGCCAATGAAACCAGAACACAAACAAGTGGAAAACACGAGAAGGAATATGTGTCAACAGATCTTGAGGCAGAATACTGGTTAAGATGCAGAAGACATAAAGCAAGCTTCTATTTGGCATGAGGTGAAAGTAGAAGAAGCAGAAAAACTCAGGGAGCCTCCCAAACTGGGGAGAAAGCCATATTTATAGAGCCTAACCACAGGAGCAGGGCAACACTCTGAACAGGAAATTACAAAACTGATCAGAACAAAGTCCTCCTTACCTCAGGATGTGAAAGAGGTCTTCATGGTGCATAAACATTGGTTGTTGGATACATCGATAGAAGTATAAAAACGATCAAAGATGAAGGAGCATTAGGACAAACAGCCCACTAATCAATTTTGCCTGTGCAAAGCATACAGGTGTTAGCAATTACTCAGTGGCTAAGAAATTCAGCACAGGTGTAGGCAGCTACCCCACACACAGCTTACCACCAGTCAAATAAGTAGCAATTCTAAGGGCAGTCTATTTCCATTTGCTTTTCCTTTTACAAGTATCCTTACAGTTAGATCAATGTAAAACAAAACTGTAAGAAGGTACATATACTTAGGTAAAGAATGAATGAAAAATGAGAAAAAAAAGTAGAAGAGTAGGAGTCTTATTATTATCTGAAAACACTTTCAAAGCTGTCGAAACACATGCTTTTACCCTATAATGTTTGCTGAGAAACACTTCACAGAACAGTACTAGTTCTCAGTAAACAGGCTTTTTATTGCAGCTATACTGTAGGACAACTAGAGAAGAGAATATGGAAACAACTAGGGGCTCTTAAGGGCACTGCAACTGTTATGTAAAAGGAAAACTGTAAATGGATTTTCTTGCTGCAGTACACTTTTAGTAGCAGAGATGTGTACTAAGGCGGAAAACTATTTGTCTCTGACTGCAAGAGATCTGTATTATTTTTCTCCTCTATGCTAGGGTGGTGACCTTTTGGATACAGCCTTAAAGAAAGTGCTTTCTAGAAATAGACTGCATCAGTCTACAGAAGTCTCAGACTGTGTTACTTATGCTACTGATCTCATAAACAAAAAGGAGAAAACAGTCTGGAAATACCTTAAAATAAATTCACTGGAGGTGTACGCATCCAAATGTAAATGCGCCTCAACATATACAGTATATAAATGTTTTGAACAAATCTCACCATTTCCACATTTCAGCATTATTTCTCAGCACTTTTGATATATTTGATCTTGCAACCGCACCTACAAAAAACAAATGAATAAATAAATAAACTCTTTTGCACAAGAATTTACACAAGGTGCCAAGCAAAAAAACACTGCCCAAATCTTCACCATTACTTTGACTGACACGCACAGAATGTGCTTCCTTTGGCTGTACTGCTTTATTCTGCTAATAATCTTTATATTACAAGTCCTTGTTAGGCCTTGGCAATGCACGTGGTCTATCTTTAGCTCAAGCTATTATGCCAGCTCTCGGTAGAAAGGGCTCTAAAATCTGGGTCTGTTACTGTAAGTGCACTTCAATGCACAAATAAAACAGAAACTCATATCTGTATAACCACTGTCTTGAGGTCCCAATGAGCTTCTGAATATCACTGATTAAAACACAAATCTAATACAGTGCAAAAAATAAATATCATCTTAAGTTATAGCCAGGTTACCCGGTGTGCTTCCATCCTGTTACATACAGCAAGTCAGCAGGATGTGGTGAAGTCATTATTTTATGGAAGACCTCTAATACACTGCTTGCATTGCAAACACAGTGCTCAAATACTGAGCATTTCAAGATTTCATTTCCGTCCGTAGTGAGGGTGAACATGCTTGAACTTTCATAATGGTACCGGCATTTTCTCAGGATATCCTATTCAGAAAGGTCCAATCTAATTTAAACATTTTCCATAACACAACATGATTGAGCAGCACACTGAAAGTGACAATCTTTGGATGAGGAACTGAGCATAAGAATTCCTCTACCTACAGTGCCTGACATGTAATATCCTTTTACCATATCATGACCAAATTCTGTTCCAGTTAATTATGTTTTGATTGCCAAACATCCTCTCTGCTGCTCCCTCACTGTGACTCTGCTCCTCATCTCAAGGTGCTCATCACTGGATTTCTAGCTATTTCTATATTCCAGAATTAGCCACATCAAATACTTAGTTTTGTATTGGGCTGAATTAGAAGTAAAATTAGGAATTACAGAAATATGAAATATTACTATTCTGTAGTAATTCTACAGGTTTGGAAGTGGAGTGAAAAAAACACATATTATAGCAGCCTACCATAGACAAGCTTCCTCAAGATTAAACAGTACAACAGCAACTGAACCTGCGTAATCTACACGTCTCTGTATGCAAGTAAAGGACACACAAAATTTCTTTTGCTCACTGCGCAGAAGACTACTATCAACTATCACCTTAAAAAGTAAATTTGATGCAGTGTAATTCAGTTGTAGCAAAGGGATTCATCTGGCCACCCCCTGCTGATTATTACACACAGTCTGCCCATAAAAAAGCAAGTCTCCCCCAAACAGGGACAAAAACAAAACTCTCACCTTACAGAGACAGAGCAAATCACCAAAACAGGTCAATCAAGGTATAATTAGCTCTAATCAGTGCTCCATTATCCTGCTAAATGCTGCACCTGCTTCCAAATTAGCCTCAAAGAAGATGTAACATTTTTTTTTCTTTTTTCCTCCAGGTGGGGTTTAAAAAAAAGAACAACAGAAAAAATATCTTTTATTCTGATGGCTACAATAGCAAAAAAAGGCCCTACAACTCCCATACTGTAAGGTTTGAGCCAACTGATCATGTGCATGTGACTTTAACCACATTGCTTATGGAAGCAGGAAACAGAAATGCTACTACTAAGCAGAGAAGGTGCTTCTCCACGTAACCAGGCAGCCTTGCTTCTCTCACACTGAAGGATTTCAGCATTCTCAAAGTGAAGAGAAATGCAACTCCTTTTGTTTTCTCCTTCCTGCTTTCTTTCCTTCGCTGCCTGTCGCTTTGCTATGTGATCAGTTATGATACCAAAAAGCAGAGAAAGAACTAAATCCTCAAAGCCAACTGCTAAATTTAGTTACTTCTGTTAACGTGGCACATTTGTTCAGAGAGAACAAAGTTTATATGGTGACAGGTAGAAAGAACCACAGCAAAAAGTAGATAAGGTAAGCAGCAAACACAGTTCTCCCTCTTGACTTCCCCTCCAAAATCAGCGGCATCTACAAGGAGGAATTGCCAAACCACCACTACATGAATATCTTTCATCTGCTCTGCAGCACAGACAGACTCCAGCTCTCTCCTGCCAATGAGGAGACAAGAAACAGCATTGCTGCACATGGACAGCAATAGCATCTGTCAGAGGCCACGGCAAAAAGGAGAGCAACGGCCTCAGCCAGTGCCCCGCAGGGTACAGCCATAATGCTGTTGTTCAAGTAAAATAAGCTTGCCCAGACCAAAGCTGGCTTTAGGATTATAACTGCATATGCAGTCAAAGGAAAGAAATCCCGAGGACCCAAGGAAGCTGCTCCTCCCCTCTGGCAGTCTGCCCAGCGCGGTACCTGCCGCAGCACGGCTGTCTGCCTCTGTGGTACATGTGCTGCTGAAGCAATGTCCCTCCTCACATCGGGCACCTTCAGCTCTCTGCTCCAGAGCGTTTGCCGGGATAGGAAACCACCCTGCAGTCCCTGAGAGCCATAAATGTACTCTGGGGACAAGTTCTTTTGCAGCCTTGTATTTACTGCTTTATTCAGCTTTGTCACCTCCAACTTTTTGGCTCCCAACTAACAGACTTTGAAAATACCTCTATAAAAATCTTAATGCAAATCACTAAGTTACTCAGCATGTTCCCAAGTACAAAAGTGTTTGGTTATTAAGCATTGGATGTCCCCATGCAGGCGCCGGCAGCGAGGCCTCCAGGCGCAACCTGTGGGGAGAGGCCGGGGCACCCGGTGCCCCACAGCAGGCTCTGGATGGTTCCGAATGGTTCCTCAGGGCTCTGCAAAGGCAGTGGTGCCTCTGTGCAAATGTCCGAGAAAAAGCAAACGCTGTGAGGGAAGAAGTGTGCAAAACAGATAGGAAGGGGCTCCAGGTACCAGGGAGTGTCCCCTGCAGCCTGTGCAGAGCCCACGGCAGAGCGGGTGTCCCCACTGCAGCCCATGCAGGGCTCCAAGCCGGCACAGGAAGTGTGAGGGGGGAGCAATGGAGAGGAACTGCTGTGGGCTGACTGCAGCTCCTGTGCTGTTCAGGGGTCGATTGGGGAACAAAGGAGAGGCTCTGAGCCTGGGGGAAAAAGGGGGACAGGAGATGAAAATAGTGGTGGTCTTATTTATTTAGTTTTTTTAAATCACTGTCTGAATCTCTTGCAGGCAAATAAATTAATTTCACCCAAGCTGAGTTGTTTTGTCTGTGACAGCACCTGGCAAGTGATGTCCCTGTCTTACCTTGGCCCACAGAGCTTTTTGTCAGTGAGCAAGAGGGTGGGAGCTGGCAGTGGCCAACATCAGCCCACCACACAGAATTTGGTTAAAAAAATATCATCGCAGGAGTGTATGACATCTTGTCCAACATTACACAAAGCCTTTTGGGCCAACTTCCAGTTCGTTTAGGCCTTACAGAAGAAAACTATGTGCAGGAGACCCCTCAGGAAATGAAGCAATAGTGTTTGGAATCTAACTACTAGAATGCTGTTGGGGTAGGGAGTGACCATTATGGCTGACATTTCTTTTGGACACAAGACCTTAAAGCCTTTTGTTATAAAGAATTTTGTGGCCACGAAAAGGGCACACATGATGGCATTGGCACATCTGGTTTCTGGGATTCACTTCTCTATTGATGTAGTAAGGAGGCATGAAAGCACCAGTGCTCTGAAAACTTACTAATGGCTAAAATAAACCCTGGAAATTATGTGGAAAATATTATTAAAAGGAAGTCATTTAATCATATTACTTAACTTCTTAGCTTAACTTTGGATGTGGAATAGAACCAAAGGGGAATCATTAGTCTGTATGCTCATTTGGTATGTTTTCTACTTTCCTGTCCAAGGCCAATGCAGCATGATAGAACTTTTCCTTGAAAAAACACAGGAGTTCATTTTCAATCTTGATAGCTACTAAGACAAACATTTTGAAAATAAGATTGCTCCTAACTGAGGTATTGTTTTAATATGCAAGATACATGAGTTACCCTATTCATCTCAATGGGGAGTTAACTCCAGGAACTAATGCCTTGCTAAGAGTCCAAATGCTTTTAGCACATGTGAGTGTAGGTGTCCATTTCACTTTCCCACAAAAAATGACTGCAACTGGACAGATTATCTTACTAATTACCAGAATTGCCAAGTGAGCAAAAAACATGAAAGTCGCCATCACCGCAGTTATATGCCTGTTCTCTCTCTGCAATATCTCTTTCCTTGTGAAAGGCTGAGCACCTGTGATACAGCTCAGGGGGATACCAAGCTCCAAGGGGTCCAGTTCAACCCTGTGATGATGGCATGCACTGTGGGCTTTTTTCCCTTCACAAATCTAGATGACATTTAGGAGGATGGAATGACAGTCTGAGCCAGTTTCTGCCTCTGTCTACTGACATGCATTTTCCCCAGGGTCCTGGTTTAACAGGTAGTTCTAACAGAGCTCTCTGTCTTTCCTGACAGTGTTAGAGGCAGGAACCATCCTGTTCCAAACACTGAGGTATCTTTGTAGGGCCACACTAGACTCCAACCTTTGTTATCAGCAGGAATGCACGTGGACTATATTTGCAGTCTTGCCTGCAGGTCCTAACTAAAAGTGTCTTTTTGTCTTCTCAAAGAAAATAAGTCTGACACACCAAGAGCCAGTTGCATACAGATCAGCACAGGAAAATACTCCTGCTGTAAATGAATTCCAAGAATGGATATGTACGAAAGAAAAAACAATGACAGGTATCTGATAAAGAGAAGAAGGAAACAAACATCTGTCAGTTTTTTAATTAGCAGCTAGATGTTACTGTTGTTACAGAGATCTGTGGTTGAAAAGCCCTTTTATTGATGTAAAAAATGTATGTGTTTGCATTAGAGAAAGCAGTTACATCACGAAAGACTTTGGAAAAATGGGCACTTTTCTCCTGAAAACATCTGCACTGTAAGTAAAAGTATCATATATTTGTTTAACTATCTGGCTAAGAGTGTAATATATAACATCCCTGAGATAATCATTAGAAAACTCAGCTTTTCCTGAGATGGCAGTTAGAGCCTAAAGGACA